AGAGCAGACTGGAAAATGCCTTGAAGTGGTGCGCCTGCTTGGTCGAAGCATTGTTTCCATCATTCAGCCATTGCACTTGCGGGGTCTTCTCGGGCACCTTGGGAGTGGCCTCCCGAGGTATGTATCCTTACGCATCCACCGCATGGGGAAGGGACATCCTGGGACCCCAGCGATCAAAGGACATGGATTTGTGTGGGCCTCAGGGGGGCCTGCCGAGATCCCCGAAGCTCGATCCCCCTGGCGGTGGTTCTGTGGCGGCTTCCGGAAACCCTGGACCCTCCCAAAAGTAATTTCTTCCTTCCAATGGCTTCTGCTGGCGCAGCTTGCCTCGTTTTCCTTCTCGGGGGCTCCCAGACACTGAGGATGGGCGGCGAACGCCTCCTGTCGCGGTCTCTTCCTCACATGAACCTGTTTCTTGATTCTTCGCGATAACACCGGTGACCGGCCCCGCCCCCGCCATCCTCCCCACCCCGTCACGTCACGATTCGCGCCAGCGCCGTGGGGGAATTTGCCAGTCCTAGGCGTTCCTACACGGCTCTGGCGCGAACCGTGGCTGAGTATCGTTCAGCCGATCCCCATCCCCACCAGCGTGTGTGCTGGGCCCTGCTGGCCGATGTACCCCCCCTGGATGGGGATATGGGCCGTAGCCTTCGGGTTTCGGGGAGTGTATCCCCAACCAGGGGTGTAATTTGGTGGGGGTCTCGAGGGGGATGAGCATGGGGATGGAGATCGGATAGACGACACGGAGTGACGTGAGCAGCCCCCTGCGGTCACGCCCGTTGTCGCCAGGGGGGAACTCAAAAAACCGCCTCCAGCGCGAGGGGGGCGGCCTGGGCCCCTCTGGAGCCACTCGCTCCGCCCACGCGTCGGTGCTGCGTCGAGCGGCAGCCGACCCGCATCGGGCTCGAGTCGAAACCGAGTCGAACCCGAGTCGGGCTCGAGCCGGGCTGGAGCCGAGCAGGGAGTCGAGCTAGAGTCGAACAAGGACTGGCAATGATCCGCCGGGTGATCCGCAGGAACGTCCCCCGAAGGAGCAGCTCAAGAGCCTGTCCAGGGGAGTGCGTTTTGGCCAGCACTCCGCGGGGAGTCTGGCCGCCCCGAGGTTCAACGGCGCGAACAAAAACTGCAACACTGCGAAAGATTACGTCCAGGGCCCTACAGTCAACCCGTATCATAAGGACGCACGGTAAGGATGCAAGGGCCTTGGAAGGCCACGTCGACACTTTGCGAGCGGGGTGTGGCCAGCGATTGTGGCCAAGGATGGGCCGAAGGAAGAGATTGCAAGAAGAACCTTGGAACATTGCTCATCCTTCCTTGGCGGGTTGACTGTGAGCCCTATCTTTCGGCGGCATCTCTCAAGCCAGATCGATCTGTGACGGCCCCGGGACCCGAGATGGGCCGAAGACGCCGTGCGTGGCACAAGAGGCAAAATTACTACGACGGTGGGACCCCACATGAGAATCTGTTTAGCTTACCCTTTGCCCTTTCCTCTTCCTCCTGGGGCTCCCGCCTGAGACTTCCTCGCAATTCACTCACAGACGAGGCTCCCGCTCGAGACTTCTTCCATATTCATATCTCAAGAGCCCAAAAGTGACGACAGTTGCACGTTGCGGATGACCCGCTCGGATTCAAACATGAAGTGCGGGCCCCATAGGGAGGGGGCTCCCGCCTGAGACTTCCTCACAATTCACTCACAGACGAGGCTCCCGCTCGAGACCCCCTCCATATTCAAGTCTCAAGAGCCCAACAGTGACGACAGTTGCACGTTGCGGATGACCCGCTCGGATTCGAACATGAAGTGCGGGCCCCATAGGGAGGGGGCTCCCGCCTGAGACTTCCTCACAATTCACTCACAGACGAGGCTCCCGCCTGATACTTCCTCCATATTCAGGCTTCAAGAGCCCAAAAGTTACAACAGTTACACGTTGCGGATGACCCGCTCGGATTCAAACACGAAGCGCGGGCTCCATAGGGAGGGGGCTCCCGCCTGAGACTTCCTCGCAATTCACTCACAGACGAGGCTCCCGTTCGAGACTTCCTCCATATTCATATCTCAAGAGCCCAAAAGTGACGACAGTTGCACGTTGCGGATGACCCGCTCGGATTCAAACGTGAAGTGCTGGCCCCATAGGGAGGGGCTCCCGCCTGAGACTTCCTCGCAATTCACTCACAGACGAGGTTCCCGCTCGAGACTTCCTCCATATTCATATCTCAAGAGCCCAAGAGTGACGACAATTGCCATTGCGGGTGACCCGCTCGGATTCAAACATGAAGTGCGGGCCCCATAGGGAGGGGGCTCCCGCCTGAGACTTCATCACAATTCACTCACAGACGAGGCTCCCGCTCGAGACTTCCTCCATATTCATATCTCAAGAGCCCAAAAGTGACGACAGTTGCACGTTTCGGATGACCCGTTCGGATTCAAACATGAAGTGCGGGCCGCATGAGAAGGGGCTCCCGCCTGAGACTTCCTCGCAATTCATTCACAGACGAGGCTCCCGCTCGAGACTTCCTCCATATTCAAATCTCAAGAACCCAAAAGTGACTACAGTTGCCATTGCGGGTGGCCCGCTCGGATTCAAACATGAAGCGCGGGCCCCATAGCGAGGGGGCTCCCGCCTGAGACTTCCTCGCAATTCACTCACAGACGAGGCTCCCGCCGAGACTTCCTCCATATTCATATCTCAAGAGCCCAAAAGTGACGACAGTTGCACGTTGCGGATGACCCGCTCGGATTCAAACATGAAGTGCGGGCCCCATAGGGAGGGGGCTCCCGCCTGAGACTTCCTCGCAATTCACTCACAGACGAGGCTCCCGCTCGAGACTTCCTCCATATTCATATCTCAAGAGAGACGACAGTTGCACGTTGCGGGGCGTGAAGTGCGGGCCCCATAGGGAGGGGGCTCCCGCCTGAGACTTCCTCGCAATTCACTCACAGACGAGGCTCCCGCTCGAGACTTCCTCCATATTCAAGTCTCAAGAGCCCAAAAGTGACGACAGTTGCACGTTGCGGATGACCCGCTCGGATTCAAACATGAAGTGCGGGCCCCATAGGGAGGGGGCTCCCGCCTGAGACTTCCTCGCAATTCACTCACAGACGAGGCTCCCGCTCGAGACTTCCTCCATATTCATATCTCAAGAGCCCAAAAGTGACGACAGTTGCACGTTGCGGATGACCCGCTCGGATTCAAACATGAAGTGCGGGACCCATAGGGAGGGGGCTCCCGCCTGAGACTTCCTCACAATTCACTCACAGACGAGGCTCCCGCTCGAGACTTCCTCCATATTCAAATCTCAAGAGCCCAAAAGTGACGACAGTTGCACGTTGCGGATGACCCGCTCGGATTCAAACATGAAGTGCGGGCCCCATAGGGAGGGGGCTCCCGCCTGAGACTTCCTCGCAATTCACTCACAGACGAGGCTCCCGCTCGAGACTTCCTCCATATTCAGGCCTCAAGTCAGCGATGATGATGATGATGATGATGATGATGATGATGATGATGATGATGATGATGATGATGATGATGATGATGATGATGATGATGATGATGATGATGATGATGATGATGATGATCGTTCGATGCCGATGATAGTGAGTGATCGTGGGATGGTGATGGTGATGCTGATGGTGATGATGATGATGATGATGATGATGATGATGATGAGTGGGGAGTGATGGTGATGGTGATGATGATGCGGAGGAGGAAGCAAAGAGGAGCAGAGGAGAGGGAGGAGGAGGAGGAGAGATCCTGCGCGGAGGGTGTGCAGAGAAAACAAGAACCCCACTTAGGATGTGGGGAACAAACAAAAAACGAGGGCGACCCGCGACCAGAGAGCCCTCGGCCTTCGAAACCAAAGATCCGACGCCTTGACTTCTGCAGTGCGTGCCCCCCACGGACTGGCTTTTCACCCCGAGTCCTTTGCTGCTGGTCTGGGAACCGACGACGGCCCCTAGAGGCCGAAGACCCGCCTGGATGACAATGCGGGCGCGGCCGCAAGAAACACTCGCAAGAAACTCAACCCTGACAACCCGCGCAGGAGGCGCACCTGAGGGACACCCAGAGCACACTGACCGCAGCAGCTTCTTCAACGGCTGCGGCAAGTCACCGCGCAGCGCGCGGAGCGAACAATCCCGGGTACCCTGATGGCTTCTTGATGCGCGCCTCCACTGCATTCCGACCCCACCTACAAGGCCTAGACCCCTTGAGTCCGCACCCAGCAGTCGCTCCAGCGACATGTCACTCTTGCGTGCAGTAGCCGACTGGAGGAGAGGTGCCTGGCTGCGGGGCAGGAAGACAGCTGCGCGCAGCCGATGTCGCCGCCCGCCCTGTCTTGAGCAAGGACCGACCGTCCCGGCAAGCCCCAGACTCCCGACGCCGCGATTTGTTCACACAACGTCGACCTCCCGAGGCCTGCACCCCTTCCCCAGGACCGGTTTTTCATCCCGGGTTGTTTTCTGGCCCGGCAAGTTACCAGCCTCGAACGCATCCCAATCCTTAAGATTGACACGCCAAAAGGCGATGACAATCTTAGGGATCCGCCCTCAAAAATAAGGGAATCCCTAAGATTGGCATCGTGATGAGGAGGTGCCCAGCGTAGGGACAGGGATATGTTCCAGGCTGGTACTTGTTCACAACGCCGACCTCCCGAGGCCTGCACCCCTTCCCCAGGACCGGTTTTTCATCCCGGGTTGTTTTCTGACGGCCCCGATTACCAGCCTGGAACATATCCCTATCCCTACGCTGGGCATCTCCTCATCACGATGCCAATCTTAGGGGTTCCCTGATTTTTTCAAGACGAATCCCTAAAATTGTCATCGCCTTTTGGCGTGTCAATCTTAGGGATACGGATACGTTCGAGGCTGGTAACCCGAGGCCCGGCAAGGGCCCCCAGGGGCTGAACACACCTGTGACAGCGCGAGGGCCGCCGGGAGCCTCGGGCAGGGCCGCCCGGGCGCGCGCGCGAGGCCGGTCGCGCCGCCGGAGAGCACCGCGGGCGGCCTCCCGCAGCTGCGCGACCTCCTGCCGCTGGGCCTCGGCGTCGGCCTCGAGGAGCGCGGCCCCGGGGGGCGGCGGCACTTGTCGTCGTCGTCGTCGTCGTCGTCGTGGTCATCGTCATCGTCGTCGTCGTCGTCGTCGTGGTCATGGTCGTGGTCGTCGTCGTGGTCGTGGTCGAGGTCGTCGTCGTCGTCGTCGTCGTCGTGGTCGTGGTCGTGGTCGTGGTCGTGGTCGTGGTCGTGGTCGCGGTCGTCGTCGTCGCCGTCGTCGTCGTCGTCGTCGTTGTCGTCGTCGTCGTCGTCGTCGTCGTGGTCATCGTCATCGTCGTCGTCGTCGTCGTGGTCGTGGTCGTGGTCGTCGTCGTGGTCGTGGTCGTCATCGTCGTCGTCGCCGTCGTGGTCGTGGTCGTGGTCGTGGTCGTGGTCGTGGTCGTGGTCGTGGTCGCGGTCGTCGTCGTCGCCGTCGTCGTCGTCGTTGCCGTGACCTTCGGCACCCTGGGCGCCTCGGCCTGGCCCGCGCAGAGGCCTCCCACAGTGCTCGAATTGCACGGTGCTGTTCGCTGTCGCTGTGTGCTCCGTTCTCCCTCGCTCGGTCTTCGGTCTGCCTCTTTCTGCGGGCAATACTTATGTCTATATCCACTGCATTATGGAGTTTCGGGCTCCCTTCCCAAGAAACCCGAGGCGCACTGGATATGGACAAATGTGCCCCCTGGAGGCTCGATTTTTTTCCATATCCAGTGCGCCTCGGCCTTGTGTCGCCACTTCCAAAAAAGTCCAAGAGGCACTGGATATGGACATGAATCTTGCCCGCACTTCCTGCGCAGGCGGCATCACCGCGAACGCGGCCCACGAGATGGCCCACAGACCGTGCAGCTCGAGCCCTGGACTCTTCTAGCTGGGGCTGGCTCGGATGGGGTCGGAGGACCGCGCCGCGCCGTCGACGCGTCGCCGACGCCTCGGCGATGCGTCGCCGACGCGTCGGCGACGCCTCAGCGAGGCGTCGGCGAGGCGCCGGCGAGGCGCCGGCGTCGCGGAGATCGGGCCGCGCGCCCGGGAGCCCAGCGCGAGGGCATCCTCCGATGCGGCTTGCGCAGTCCACGGCCTCAGACCCAGATCCCTCTCGCTGTTTCTCTTTACGTAAATTTATTTACGTAAATGAACGTAAATGAACTTTTTACATATATATACGTAGTTATTAATCGCTAGTTATATATACGTAGTTATTAATCGCTAGTTAGTAATCGCTAGTTATACGTAGTTATTAATCGCTAGTTATTAATCATATGAACTTTTTTCTCTTTACGTATTTCTCGCTAGTTATTAATTTATTTTCGTAAATTTAACTTTTTACATACATATATATATATATATATAACGCCACAACAACAAAAAAACAACAACATGAGGAACAAAGCAACGACGGGCGGTTCTTGGACTTGTTCTGCCTCTGGGGGCCCTCGCTCGGCGCCGGGAGCAGTGAGCCGAGTGAGACAAAGCAGCCGGTCCCGGGGAGCGGCTTCCAGACCCTCGGGGGGGCCCACGTTGCGAACAAAATCGCGCCGCCGCAGGTCTGCAATCCGATGCCCCAAACATCCCGACCCCATTCCGGGGGATGGTTCCGCGTCTTGGATATCGGTTTGTCCCGTTGGGTTCTCGTTCTGAATATAGAGCACTGCGGTCGCGGCCTCCGTCTCTTCCCGCCTCCCTCCCCCTCTCTGCCGTCCTCGTCCTCTCGCCTGCCCTTTGCATGGCATGCACCAGCCTGGCCACCCGGTCTCGTACTTCGCCATCTGACGTTGCCTCGGCAACCGTGGGGCGATGCGACTTGCAGGGTTGTCGCCCCTTCCGAATTCTGCAGGGGGGGTCCAGCGGAGTCACGTCATACGCAGACTCAAAGAAAACCGCACCATCCAAAGTGGCTGCGAACTGTGAAGCCCGTGCCACTTTCGAGTGCTGTTGGGAGGTCCACCGGAGTGACGTCATACGCGGACTCAGATTCTACCTCGCCTTCCATTCGAACTGCGAATTTGTCGCAGGCTCCGTAGGCTGCTGAGGGGACCAGCGGAGTGACGTCATACGCGGATTCAGATTCGACCTCACTTTCCATTGCTGGTTGCGAAATGCAGAACGGTCGTCGATTTCAACAGGTGCTGGGGGGTCTAGAATTCAGAATACACCTGGCCATCCTTGGCGGCTGCGAAGTGCGATGCTCGTGCCACTTTCGAGGGCTGCTCGGGGGTTCAGCGGGGTGACGTCACACGCGGATCCAAATTCGATTTCGCCATCCCTGGGGGATGCAAACTGTGAAATTGTATCCACCTTTAAGGGTCTGCTGGGGAGTCAAGCGGAGTGACGGCATGCGCGGACTCAGGTTACTTTGCCATCTGTGCTGATCTGCAAACTGCGACGCGGTCGTCAATTTCGAAATCAGTTTGGGTTCCAGCGGAACGACGTCGTGCGTGGACTCGGGCTACACCTCGTCATCCTTCGGGGGCTACGAACTGTGAAAGTGCCGCCACGTGCGGGGGAGGCTAACGGTCGCAATTCGAGGGCTGCTGGGGGCCCAGCGGAGTAGCGCCACACGCGGATTATGATTCGCAGCGTTCGAAGGCTGTTGGGGGGTCCAGACGGGTTACGTCAGAAGCAGACTCAGATTAGACCTCGCCCAGTCTGGGCGGCTGCAAGCTCCGAAACTCGTGCCATCTTCGAGGGCTGCTGGGGGGTCCAGCGGAGTGACGCCATACGCGGATTGAGATTACGTAAACCTCGCCGTCCCTGCTGTGCTTCGGAGGCGCCGGCGCCGCTTTCGGAGGCTGCTGGGAAGTCCAACGGGGTGCCGTCGTACGCAGATCCAAACTAAATCTGGTCATCCTTGGGTGGCTGAGCGGTGCGAAACGGTCGCCAGTTTCGAGAGTTGCGCCCGGGGTCCAGCGGGGCGACGTCTTGCGCAGACTTTGGCTCGCCGTGATGTCCTTTCCTGCGGGCCGCCCAAAGACCTGGCGGCGCGCCTGCGGGCGTCTAGCTCCCGCCCCGGAAGAGGCAGGGAGAAAACGAAGAACATTGCGGGCGAGCCGGGCCTCGCTCGCCGGAGCCCACCTTGTCCTCTGGAGTGCCAGGGCGACACGGCGTGGTCCGCGCTGCTTGTCCGGCGTGCCGCTGGAGAATGATCGGCACCTCCTTCCTCATCCTGACACTTTCGTTGTCGCTCTCTTCCTCCTTCCACTCTCACTGCTTCTGCCGCATTGGTTTTCAGCCGTTCGTCCTTCCTTCTCCTGCCCTTCGGTCCAGCCCCTACTCCGTGACCCGGGCATCAGTCCTGGTCCTTCTGTTGCTGCCCTGTGAGTCGTGCAATGCGCGCGCTCTCCATATAGCTTGCGCAACCACTGGCAATTCCTGTGTTGTCATCCGCCATACTATTCTGCACCAGCGCCTGTTATCACTCAGCGCAGATGAGCTGGGCACGTCGCAGGGGACTTGGCTAGCGCTGGGGCCCGAAAGCGCGCCCGCGGAGGCCGAGACGAGGGAAACACTTGGGGCCCCGGACGCTGTGCGTTGACGCACCACGTGGTGACCTCGGCATCTCCAACGACCCCACCGCGCGGTCCGTCACCGCACGGCCCTGGGGCCCTGGAGGCCCCAGGCGCCCCCAGAGACGCCCTCGGAGAACGGCCCGAGTCCCGAGACCGTGCGGGGACCCCGAACTCCCCGCCTGACCCACCAAGCGGCGTGGCCCCCCCACCGTACTCCCCGCCGGAAGCCCCCGCCCCCCCTCGGCAAAAGAACGTCGAACTTGAAGCAGCATCGCAATCATATCGTCGGAGCTGCGCTGCCAAGACACGCGGGCTCACACGGAGAGCTCCACCAGAGGAAGGACAGCGTGGGCCTGGCGCGACACGTTCGCCAAGGCGTGGGCCAGCAGGTGCCGAGCCACCGCGCAGCGTGGCCCACCTGGCCAGTTGGAACGCTGGCCATCGCTCGGACGTCCACTCCCAGAATTTTTGTTGTCGGTTTCGTGCGTGGTTGTTTCGCCAAATTATCAAGGATGCTCCTCGACGGTCCTCGCCGAAGGAAACATGCACACGTCCGAGCGGCCAAGAACATGGCACGCGTTGCGTTTTGGCACGGGCGCATCAGCCTAGGGGCAGCCACGGGGCCCGGAAGCCCACGCAGCCCTGCCGAACCTTTCGTCCCCGGCGTCCCCGGGGGCTGTTCCCGATGACGGCCTCTGCTCGGCCTCGTGGCGCGACGGGGCCGCCCCTGCCGCCCGAACGGTTCGAGCACAGGGCACGCGCTGCGCGGCGGAGAGCGAGGGGGGAACGTGAGAAAGAGGAGGCCTTCTCAGAAGGCGGCGTGACTTCTCAGAAGAAGCCCTCGCGCCATCCTGAGGAGTATCCTGCGTCTACGGGCAAGGCGCGGAAAACTCCTCAGCAGGCCGGGGGGACTTCCGAGCCTGCTGAGAATGCCCGTCCTTTCTCACTTCCCCCCCTCGCTCGCCGCCGAAAAAAGAAGGGGGAGCAGGAGGAGGAGGAGGAGGAGGAGGAGGAGGAGGGAGGAGGAGGAGGAGGAGGAGGAGGAGGGAGGGGTGGAGGGAGGAGGGAGAGGGAGTGAGGAAGGGAGGGAGGAGGAGGAGAGGAGGAGGGAGGGAGGGAGGGGGGGGGGAGGGAGGAGGAGGAGGTGGAGGGAGGGGGGGGGGGGGGGGGGGGTGGGGGGGGAGGGGCGGGGCCAGAGCATCAGGGCAGCCGAGCTGCGCCTCGACACGGGCGTGTCAGGGCAGCGAAGCGTCGGAGGTCCGGGGGGGCGTCGGAGGTCCGGGGGGGCGTCGGAGGAGCGTCAGGTTGGGGCCCGGCAGACGGCGGCAGCCCCACACCCCTTGGGTCGGAGGGCCGGGGCCCGAGCGGGACTCCATGGGGGGTCCTAAACGGGGGGGTCAGAGACGGTCCCCTTTCGTGCCCCTTTCGGGCCCCTCCAGAGCCCGAGGGGGGCTCGGTCAGGTGCCGTTTGGGCACCTTTTCGAACCCCCCTCGCCCCCCCCCCCATTTATGACCCCCCCATTCCGCGGCGCCCCAAGGGCCCTCGTCTCCAGGAGAGCCGGGGCCCCGATGAAGTCGAGGTGCTCCTCGTCGGAGCCGCTGCCTCTGGGCTCGTGCACGCCAGCGAGCAGACGCGGCACCCGCCGGCGGGGGCGGGCCCCTGAGGAGGGGGGGGGGGCCGCTGGGAGCTGGAAGGAGCTTGGCCACGGGGCATATTCAGTGACGCTCCTCCGCGCGCTCCTGCTGTTCTCGTTGTCATCAGCCTCCTCTTGCAGACGTCGTCGCTTATCCTCTCCCCCCGCCTTTCTGTTTGTCGCCGTCCTCCTCCTCCTCCTCCTCCTCCTCCTCCTCCTCCTCCTCCTCCTCCTCCTCCTCCTCCTCTCTCCTCTCATCCTCTCTCCTCTCTCCTCTCTCCTCTCTCCTCTCCTCTCTCCTCTCTCCTCTCTCCTCTCTCCTCTCTTCCTCTCTCCTCTCTCCTCTCTCTCTCCTCTCCTCCTCTCTCCTCTCCTCCTCCTCCTCCTCCTCCCTCCTCCTCCTCCTCCTCCTTAGCCTCCTCCTGGTCCTCCTCCTCCCTCCTCCTCCTCCTCCTCCTCATTAGCCTCCTCATCCCATTAGCCTCCTCCTCCTCCTCCTCCTCCTCCTCCTCCTTGGCCTCCTCCTCCTCCTCCTCCTCCTCCTCCTCCTCCTCCTCCTCTCGGCGGCGAGCGAGGGGCGGGCCTTCTCACACGCCTCGGAAGTGCCCCGCCGGCCTTCTCAAAAAGTGTTCCCAGCCTGCCCCGAAGTCGCAGAAATTGTCTCGGAAGGCGCGAGGGCTCCTGACAAGTCCCGCCGCTCTCCGAGAAGGTGTTCTCCTTCTCACTTCCCCCCCTCGCTCGCCGACGATTCTCCGCATCCTCCCGCCTGCTCCCCCAGCAATGCCCTGAGGGGCGCAGCTGCCCCCCAACAGACACGCACTGCGGGGCACAGCTGCCCGCCCGCAAGCCACGGTGCGCCGGGCGCGGCCCTGCGGGGAGCAGCTGCCCCGTGGCCAGCCGCGCCCGGAGGGGTAGTGCCCCGAGACGGCCCAAGTGGGCCTCGAGAATGCCCAGGAGAGCCCAGAGGCAGCCTCGTAGAGCCCCCCCCCCCCGGTGGCCTCCGAGACAGCCCCAAGAGGGCCCCTGGAGCTGCGCAGGTTGCAGAGCAGCAAGCCTGCACAGAGCGGGCTCCAAGACGGCCCGAGACCCCCAACAACACGCAGTATGGCCCCCAGGACGGCCCACGAGGCCTCGAAGACGGCCCGCAGCAGCCTGTTCCTGTGCTCCCGCCAGCCATGTCCAGGGGGGGTACGTGTACCCTCAGAGTGCCACGCATCTAACGGGTACAGTAAGGGCCCGACCACAGGATACCTTCCTCGAGAAACCCAACCCTGAGGCCCCAGGATGTGCATTGATCTTTGGTCTTGGAACGTCACGCTTGCCATCGCAAAACCATCGAAACCCAAGGAACCCAGGGCACCCGGGTGTTCCTTGGCATGGGTCTCCACTGTATGGTTCCTGTCTCCCTCCTCCTCCTCCTTCTCCTCCTCCTCCTCGAGCGTAGGTGGGAACAAGGAAAGGCGACACCAACACCAGCAGGGCGAGGAGGTGCGAGGAGGTGCGAGGAGGCAAGGGGAGTCTCCCTGGTGGCATGGTCCCCCCCTCTTGCTCGAGACACCCTCAGCATCCAGCTCGGGGAGGCATCGTGGACCTCCTCGCTGGAGGTGGGCACCCTGGTGGTGTTGGTATCGCTTCTCCTCCCTCCGAATAGGAGAGCCAGGTCCTGAGGGACGATGCCCCCGCCTTCTCTGCGACGGCTGGGGGGGGGCCCTGCGGGGCGGGGGCGCAAGCAGCAGGGCGGCCATCGCCCTGCAGGACGACAGCCACCCACGGGAGCTCAACGGAAGCTCTTTGTCCTCCTCCTCCTCCTCCTCCTCCTCCTCCTCCTCCTCCTCCTCCTCCTCCTCCTCCTCTCCTCCTCCTCCTCCTCCTCCACCTCCTCTCACCTCCTCCCTCCTCTTCCTCCTCCTCCTCCTCCTCCTCCTCCTCCTCCTCCTCCTCTCCTCCTCCACCTCCTCCTCCTCCTCCCCCTCCTCCTCCTCCTCCTCCTCCTCCTCCTCCTCCTCCTCCTCCTCTCCTCCCTCCCTCCTCCTCCTCCTCATCATCCCTCCTTCTCCTCCTCCTTCTCCTCCTCCTCCTCCTCCTCCGCGTTGTCATCCTCCTCCTCCCTTCCCCCTCACCCTCCCGCCCTCCCCTCCCCTCCCCTCCCTGACAGGATTCAGCGCGGGCCTCCATCTGCGTCACAAGGCGCTGCAGCTCGACGCACCTCGACTCGGCCTTGATCAGCGCCTTCGCGCGCGGGCGCCAAGTCGGGGGGAATAGGGGGAGGACGACGATGGCGAAGGCGAAGGCGATGGCGCTGGCGACGACGACGACGACGACGACGACGACGACGACGACGAACACGACGAGCACGACGAGCACGACGGACACGACGGACACGACGAACACGACGAACACGACGACGACGACGACGACGACGACGACGACGAACGCGACGAACACGACGAACACGACGACGACGACGACAACGAACAAGACGAACACGACGAACACAACGACGACGACGACGACGACGACGACGACGACGACGAACACGACGAGCACGACGACGACGACGACAGCGTCGGCGGCATCGGCGACGACGACGACAGGCGGCCGCGGCGGCGACTGCGACGAGGCGGGCGGGCACACGCGCCTCGCAGCCCCAGACGGTGGGCGGCGGGGGGCATCGCAAGAAGCATCGCGACGACGACGACGACGACGAACACGACGAACACGACGAACACGACGAACACGACGGACACGACGAACACGACGAACACGACGACGACGACGACGACGACGACGAACACGACGAACACGACGAACACGACGACGACGACGACGACAACGAACACGACGAACACGACGACGACGACGAACACGGCTCTGGGGCCCTGGAGGCCATTGTCGCCCGAGACGTCCTCGGAGAGGGGCTCGAGTCCCAGGACCGTGCGGTGACCCCGAATCCCCACCGACTCACCGCACGGTGTGGTCACCACCCCGTTTGGGGGCCCCCGAGAACTGGGCATCTGGAAACCCGTTTCGGGCCCCGGGTCGGCCCGGGGAGCTCGCGGCAAACACTACGGTGACGATGGCTGCGTCGCGAGTCGTTTCGTGACGGCCCGGGGGCCCAAAGACGGAATTCCACATGCCGACGTTGAAGAACACGATTCCGTGTTTTTCACGACGCCTGGAAGTCTGGAGAATGAGGGGGGGGACAAGCAAGGTCATGGGGAGAAGGGACATCTCCAATCTCACAGCCCAGCTTCTCAGCCCAGGCAAGGAATCTACTGTCCCCGACACTGACGCCTCACAAACATTACGCGTAAAGCATGACCGAGGACCTCCTCACCCCAGAAAGACGGCCAAACTGCTGAGCCAACGCTCAAACTGCAAATCCGTAGCAAGATCTCAATTTATTTGCAGGCTGACACTCTGACCGACTGGCTCTTTTGGTTATCTCGAGCTGGAAAGCACCAACGAAGCTCAGCCACCAACGTTGCGAACGTGTGTTTGTATATGGGTCCACGCATGCGTCCAGAACGTCACCAATTGAGGCGCTGCGCGTCTGCTCACGCGGGGTCGTGGTAGACACCTGGGCGATTCCATCCGCAAGGCAGACGGCAGACTGATAGATCCGCATGCCCCATACGCGCGTCTGAATGTGAAGATGAAGAGCTCGTGGCGGAGACATGATGAGATGGTAGCGGCCACAAGGAGCCAACTCTACTGGGTCAGTGTGGCCTCGCGGGGGGCAGGAGGGAAACTCGCCTGGTCAATTCATGGCATTGGGGGCGCGCACAAGGCAGTGGGGATAGGGCGAGGGGGGAGGCTCCTAAGAAGGGGGCTGCTTCTTAGAGGGCGCCAGCCCTACATCGGCAGAGAAGGCCCGCGCCCTCTAAGAAGCAGGGGTGCTTCCAAGAAGCCTTTCCACTCCCCCTACCCCCCCTTCTGCGCGTGGCCGATAAAAAAGCAATGCGGAGGAACGCAGAAAAGGTATAGATGACAAGGACAACAGCAGACTGAAAGGAGGGAGAGCGAGAGCAGGGAAAGCGTCACTGCTTTTCGCCCGAAAGACGCATGATGCAGCACACAGCATCTACTGCACACACTTCTCAATCTTTCCGAGCCTGAGAAGGCTCAGGACTCAGGCAGGCCGGCGCCCAAAATTCCAAATATACTTGTGAGGTCATGCAGGGCTCCTCCGTAACCTGCTTCCAGGATCCTGACCTGGTGTGACGCGGGTACGTTTCTTTGTCGTACTCGCACGGCCTGTACAAGCATTCGCTACGCTCACTGCGTGCATTCGCACCGCCAGCGTAATCAACCGTATCAAAGACGCAGCCCTTGCACGTCAAGAACAGACCATTGGTGGGCAAAACCACAGGACATGAGCCGACTACAGACTTTCCCTGGCGCCACTTTACAAGCCTCAACTGCGGTTTTCCGACAGGGGCTGCAATACGACCAGACGATACGCTGGCGAAACATATTGTACAAAGGGCTGGTCATCCGCGCGCGATCTGGACCCGCAACTCTCGATCCACATTGGCCACCAATTACACTGTCGAGCGTCCGCCGGCATGACAGGCGTGAGGGGCCCAAGGAGATGCAAAAAAGATGCCACAACCTCCGGTACGAGGTTCCGAATTAGTCGATGACTTCTTGTCGCACCCGCGTTGGTCCCTGGAGGAAGAGTGCTCCGGGCAAATCGCAGCAAGTCTCCGACACAAGGTCCCAACAGGAAGGGCGAAGAGATCCTGCAAAGCCCCAGGAACGGCCCAAGAGACCACCAAGGGCCCCAAGACTGTCCAAGAACACTCCAATTCGGTCCAAGATGGCCTCCACACGGCCCAAGAGGTGGCCCGAGACGCAAAACTCATTGATTTTTCCGATGGCTGTTGAAAGGTCTCCGTGTCCTCATTTTTTAGGGCTTCCGACGGCCCAAGACAGCCCAAGGGGCCCCCGAGATTGCTTCAAGACGGCCCCAGACGCTCACGAGTTCTCTTCAAGACTGCGCCCCAAGACGCCCAAGAGGGCCCCATGAGGGACCCCCAATATGGCCCAAGGGGTCCTCAAAAGGGCCTCCAAACTCGATCTACCTCGGTTCCCTCCCGTCCTCCCTCCCCCTCTCCCCCCACTCTCCCGCTCCCCTCTTCCTCTCCCCCTCCACAATTACTCAATATGAATACTACTCTCCCTCTTCCCCCGATGGCGGCCTGAAAGTAGCCCACCCACCCCCGCGTCCTGCGTTTTTGCACACAGGATTCCCGGGAGTTGGGTTTTCGCTTGCATTTTTGTTCAAAATGCTGCTCTCGCCGAGGTGCCGGTCTAATTTTCGGGCCCCGCTCGTTCCGAATCGTGCTCCCGCTGCAGCGCTGGCCTCATTTACGTGCTTCCGCTCGTTCCGAATCGTGCTCCCGCTGCAGCGCTGGCCTCATTTTCGCGCTGCCGCCCGTTTCGACTCGTGCTCCCGCTGCAGCGCTGGCGTCATTTCCCGTGTCATGCCACAGCACACGCGCACACGCACACACACACACCACCACCACCACCACCACCACCACCACCACCACCACCACCACCACCACCACCACCACCACCACCACCACCACCACACCACCACCACCACCACCACCACCACCACCACCACCACAACCAACACACCAGCACCAGCACCAGCACCACCAGCACCACCACCACCACCACACACCACCAGCACCACACCACCACCACCAGCACCACCAGCACCACCACCACCACCACCACCACCACCACCACCACCACCACCACCACCACCACGCACACACGCACGCACGCACGCACGCGCACCACCACCCACGAGTCCGCGGATAGAGAAAATCAGCGCCATGGTAAGCGATGGGAGGGAGGGGTAGGACGTCAGATATGACGCGCGCCCACCTAGCTTGACTCTCCCCCTCTCCCTCTCCTCTCTCCCTCTCACCTCTCCCCCTCCCCTCTCCCCTCTCCCCCTCCCCCTCCCTCCTCCCTCAACTCCCCTCCCCCTCTTCCCTGCACAGTTACACAATGAAAATACGACTCTCCCTCTCTTCTCAGAGCCCGTCCCGAAGATGCTCGGCCCCCCTCCGCGCACTGGTTTCCATGTGCTGCCGGGCAGTGGGCTCTTCACACCGCATTGCTGGGAGCTTGGTTTTCAGGTATTCTTGACAAGCCCATTCCGCTGTGTTCCACTGGGTTCAAGTAGCTTACACAGGATTCCGCCCATTCACGTAGTTTACACAGGATTCCCAGTCCGTCAGCATGGTGTTCCCGCTGTAGCGTTCGCCCTATTTCTGCGCCTCTGGTCGTTCCAAATCGTGCCCCCCCTGCAGCGCGGGCTGTTCCAGTCCTTCCAGATCGGTTCAACATGTTTGGACCACGTATCAGGCGCCGTCCCCTTTCTGCTTTGAGAAGGCGGTGTTGAAAGCAGGGCTTGCGGGTGCTCTCCATCAGCCCCGCCTCGTGGGGAGCTTTCCGTGGAGCCCAGGGAGCTGAACATGGAGCCACGACTTCAGACCATCCCAAACTTCTCGAAGACGGTCAACTTACCCTCCAATGAACCGGGTGTCATGCCATGACATGCAGCGCGGTGTTGTGTCTGTGCCGCTGTGCGATGCCATGCTTTGCGTTGCAGTGCTTTGTGATGCAATACTTCACTACGCAATGCCACGCCATGCGTCGCTCTGCAGTGCTCTTCCACGCCATATTAGGCCGTGCAGTACCATGCATCGCGTACCCTCTCAGGATCATTGCCCTGCTCGACATCCAACTGTGCGAATGGAGAGGGATCTACGCCATGGTAAGGGGAGGGAGGGGTAGGACGTCAGATCTGACGCTAGCGAACCCAGCTTGCCTCCTCCCCTCCCTCCCCTCCCCTCCCTCCCCTCCCCCCCTCCCCTCCCTCCCCGCCCCCTCCTCCCCTCCCCTCCTCGGTCCTCCCCTCCCCGCTCCTCCTCCCTCCCCATCCTCCCTTCTTGGACGCCGGAAATGCTCCGGGATGACTGCGGTCAGGAGTCACTCCAGTTTGGGCCCCCGAGGCGCGAATTTGCAGTTACCCCTGACTGCCACCAGCCCCGACAATTCGGGAGGGCTTTACGCCCGAGTTATGCGGGATAACTGCGGTCTGGGGTAACTCCTGTGTGGGCCCCCGAGGCGCGAATCCGTAGCTATCCCTGACCACCCACAGCCCTGATGATTCGGAGCTCAGATCTTCTCCACCCTCTCCAAATCGGTGCTCTCAGTCGTAGGCGCCCTCGTCCGCGAACGCGTCCCCGCCGAAGCAGACGTCGATCATGCATTCGCTGGACGGCATGCCCTTGGGGTCCCTCGCCGCGCAGACGCCCCTTCGAGCGGAGCCCAGAAGCCTACGCCTCCTCCTGTGCACCTCCTCGAGTGGAGGGGGGGGAGAAGGGACGGATGTGGCAGCAGGGGCGGAGGGAGGAGGGAAGGAAGAGGGAGGGACGATGGATGAGGGGAGGGGAACGTGGAAAGGGCGAAGAGAGGGAGGGGGGGGAACGACAGCGGGAGGAGAAGGAGGGAGTGGAGAAGGGAGAGAGGAGGCGGCACGAGCTGGGGAGGAGGTAGCAGGAAGGAGGAGAGGCCCAAGCTTTCCCCGGTAAGGACCAAAGCCATGGCTCTCGCTCCTTCTCCTCGTGTCCCTCTTCCCCCTCCTATTCCTCCTCCTCCTTCTCCTCAATCTCTTCCCTCTTCCTCCTCGCCCCTCCTCCTCCTCCTCCTCCTCCTCCTCCTCCTCCTCCTCCTCCTCCTCCTCCTCCTTCCCCTTGGCATGACCCTTCCTCTCTCCCTACCCTCCATCGCGCTCCTGCCTCCCTCCTTCCATCTCGTCCTGTTACAAGTCCATCACGCCCACTCCCCTGTTCTCCTCGCGTTTCCTCCCCTTCTGCTGCTCCTCCTCCTCCTCCTCTTCCTCCTCTTCCTCCTCCTCCTCCTCCTCCTCGTCCTCCTCTTCCTCCTCCTCCTCCTCCTCCTCCTGCGCCTCCTCCTCCTCTTTCTCATCCACCTCACGAGACCACGTCGTGGGCCAACGCGCTGGCACACCCGTGGAGGCTGGCATGTGCAGCCCACCCGCTGGAAGGCTCTTGGAGACTGCCAGAAGGCCTGGGCTGCCGCACGAGACGCCGAGAGCGACGGCGCCGCCTTGAGAGACCGGGCTGGGCACTCGAGGAACAGAACGGCAGAAACATGAACTTTCGGAGCTCCGCGCGCCTGGGGGTTCCAGCGCCGCTCCAGGAAATCCGCGCGGACCGCCGAAAGTTTTGGGTACCAGCATGTGTTGTTGCTCCTCGAGGTTCAAGCAGCACGCGGGCGAGCTGCCAAAACGCGGCGGGGCGATGCGCTGCCGCGCAGCTCGGCGACGACGACGCGCTCCCCGCACACGGGCGCGTGGGGCGGAGGCCAGAGAGGAAACCGCGCAGCTCGCGACCGCGCCGGCCGCCGGACGCCTCCGTCGCGGCGCCAGGGCGAGGAGGATGTCACGCAAGGGGATGGTTTGACAGGGGTCGGTTAGGCCGACCCTGATCCTTGGCGGCGCGCGCGAGGGGGCAGGTGGAGAGGGGTAGGTTTCCTAGAATGAGGCTGATCCTTAGAAGATGCGGGCATTGTATCTACAGATGAAGCCCACGCCTTTTGACAAGCAGTGCGGTTTCTAGGAATCCCTCCCCCCTCTCCCTACCCCCTTCTGCGCGTTGGCTGACTCTCCCGGGGACTGGCGCTTCACCCTGGGGCCCGGCGAGGGCCCCCAGGGGCTGAAAGCGGCCCCAGACCGTGCGTCGCGATGTGGTTGTGTCACGACGCGAGCGTGGCTGGGGAAGCTGTTGGCAGCTGGGCCGGGGTCGGCGGCGAGCTCGGGGGGGGGAGTGGGAAGGGGCGGGCCTTCTCAGAAGGCTCGGAAGTCCCCCGGCCTCCTGGGAAGTTCCCCCCGCCTTCCCCGGGGACACTGAAAACCCTGCAGAAGGCGCGGTGGGGCTTCTGAGAAGCGGCGCCGCCTTCGAGGCCGTCTCCGTCTCGCCCCCCCCCCCCTCGCTCGCCGCCGAGGCTGGGCTCTGGGCCCCGTCCTGGGCCCAGGGCTCGCCGCGCACATTGGCCTCGGGGGCCAGGCCGCCGAGGGACTGGGCGCTCCGAGTGCGGCGAGGCTCGAGGGTCCGAGCGGCGGAAACGCGGCAGGCGAGGCGGCGGCGGGCAGGACCTGGTGCACGGCCGATCTGAGGCTGGTGTCAACACCTCCTCCTGCTCCTCCTTCTCCTGCTGCTCCTCCTCCTCCTCCTGCTCCTGCTCTTCCTCCTGCTCCTCCTCCTCCTCCTCCTCCTCCTCCTCCTCCTCCTCCTCCTCCTCCTCCTCCTCCTCCTCCTGCTTCTCCTCCTCCTGCTCCTGCTGCTCCTCCTCCTCCTCCTCCTCCCCAGAACCCCCTCGGGTCATGAGAAGACCACGGCGGAAGGTGTTTCTGTAGTTGCAGACACTGGGAGCCCTCACCGAGCTCTGGGGTCGTCGACAAACGACACGATGGAGACCTTTGGGGGTCCACGCCATGAACAAATCACGATGTGGGGGTCTTCGTCTGGCGTGGACTCTGCAGGAGGGGGATGCTCCCGTCGGCTGCGGAGGTGCGAAATGTAGCAGCGGAGAGTGGCCATGTCGTGCTGGGGGCGTCGGTGCACACACGAGGTGACGGTGCGCCGTTGTTGGGGTGCATGTTCGTGGCTGTCGGCAATCGCCAAGGAATCTCATCCTGCTGCTCACCATCATCCTTCCGCCCCATGGCCCTCTCCCTTTCCCTCCTCCTTCGTTACACCCCGCCCCCTTCTCTGACCCTCAAACTCTCCCCATCCTGTTCCTTCCCCTCCTCCAGCCCTTTAGCTCCTTCCTCTACCGGCGTGCTCCTCTCGTATTCATCACCAGTATCTTCTCATTAACCCCCGCCTCCTCCTCCACCTTACCTCCTCCTCCTCCTCCTCCCACTTCTCCTCACCAAAAGTGTAAGGTCCCAGCACTCCGCATGCTGGATACCCTCAACAAAAAGGCAAGGTCGGCCCCCCCTGCAGGCCCCCACAGCTCTGTGAGGCCCCACGAGGTCGGACCCAGCCAGGCAGCGTGCTCGACTGTGGAGCCACGCGGGCGAGCAGGACGCGAGCCCCTCCGGACGCGAGGCGTGCGCACGTGTGGACAGCTGGCTGAGCGACAGGGCCGCCCGCGCGGATGGCGCACGGCGAGCAGGCGAGCGGGCGCGAGCTGGGCCTCGCCCGGGCCCTTTGCCGGCCCCCCCCCCTCGGGGCGCAGAAGGCGAGAGGGGACGAAGGGCCAGGCACGGTGCGCTCGCGCCTCCTCCGACGGCCCATCCCCCCCTCCCATCCCTCCCTCCTGTACCTGCGACTCTCCCCCTATCCCTCTCATCCCCCCCTCCCCCCTCCCTCCTATCCCTCCTACCATCCCTATCCCCCCCTCCCATCCCTCCCTCCTACCCCCCCCTCCCATACCCCCCTCCCATGCCCCCCTCCTATCCCTCCCTCCCTCCTTCCGGGTCATGCACCATCGGGGCATGGGGAGGGGGGAGCAGGCGGCGGGTGAGCAGGAGGACGAGCGGGAGGAGAACGGCCGGGAAAGGGGGGACGAGGCACAGAGCGAAGAGGGGGACGGCGCACGCCGAGGCCCCCCGGGGGATGCGCGCGCAGGCAGGCAGCCCCCCCACCCCCCCCCTCCCCCCCCGGAAGGCGGCCCTGGCCTCGCCGCCCCCCCCCCCAGGGATACCGAGCAGGACGCTGCGCCGGGGCGGGGAAGCCTGCCGAGGCCAGCCTTTTGGGGGAGGCGCGGCCTCGAGGGGGGCGCGGGGGCGGGGGGGGGGGCCCACCCCGAGCGCGCAGGCCGCTGCTGCCGATCGCACCCCAGTCCGCGAAGGGGGGGGGGGGCCTGCAACTGGCGGGCCCGCACCCGAGGGCACTGCGGCGAAGGCGCGGGGGAACGTTTCGTCGGGGGGGGAACATCGAGCTGGAATCGGCGATGCATCGTCGATAGACCGGAGACCGGCCCCCGCGTAGCGAACCCGCACGTTTCCGGGCGGGGTCGGCTCTCGGGCCGCCGTCGGTGATCAATGGGCGAGGGGGTGTCGATGCGTCCCCGCCTCGCGTTGCTCCCGTGAAGGGTCTCTCCCCTGCGGGTGGTCGACATCCCGAGGCTGCGGTGTCGACGACGCGGGGAGCTGCCCCCGGAGGCCTGGCCGGGGCCGGCCTGGGCAAAATAGCCAACAAGTAATTCACAAATGACTTATATATGTAATAAAACATCGTCCCCAGACTATTTGTAGTATTTTTGAATATTCCTCCTATATATGACAGGCCCGACGAAAAGCTTCGCTTGGGCTCCCAAGCCTCGCCAGAGGTGCGGGCAGATCTTTTCGGCGCCCCGGCCTGGCGTGCTCGGTCTTCTCCCGCGGGCAGTCGTTGAGGTCCGGGCGATTGGGAGCCGTCACCGGGGTCTTCGTGTGGAACAGGAGGTGTTCCGCTGCCACGCCCGTCGTGCCAAGCCGGGAGCGGATCCTGAGGGGGCGGACGGATGATGGGGGAGGGGAAGGGAGGGAAAAGGGGCGAAGGAGGAGGACGTCGGGGAAGGAGAGAAGTTGCAATGCTAGCCACAATTTAGTCTAAAACGTCGTCCTCCTCTCGGGAGGTCACTTACAGCACAAATCAGCGATGAGGGAACTCAGTGTCCGACTTTTGCGGAGTTCACCGGTGGCTGGCACTCCTTCTTCACTGTGCGAGGGGGGTGATTATCACGAACCACCCCGCGCCTCTCACAAAATGAAACGCCTGTCAGCACCGCAAACTTGTGCGACATGCAACACAGCTGCTCCATGGGATGCTCCAGGGCTCCGCCACAGAGCGTCGAAAGCCTGAGATCATCAGACGTTGGCCACTCCTGAAGCGGCACAGGCTTACGGGCTGGAAGGGCTTGAATTCGCTGCTCAATCGGGCACCGAGGCTTGCATTGATCAGGCCAGAAACACCAAAAGTCGCCACGCATCGAGAAACTCCTGAAACAGTGCTTACATCGGATAGCCGCCTTGTACGTGAGGCGCTCGTGCCCCGCGTCCCTGAGTCTGCACAATCGCTCAAGACTGGCAGCCTGGCCTTTTCCCCAGCGAGGAACATGCTCTCCCCGCTGTCGCTCGCACCTGAACGCAACGCCCTCTTGGACAGCCAGAAGGCAACCCACAGCAATCGAACATGTTTCTGCCCCTCGGGCTTGGCCAACATGCTCAGCAGACATTTGGGCCCTAGCAGCAGCCGCAACGGCAAAACGATCGGCCACACAAGTGAGGTACAACTCGGCAAGGGGCAACAACATGTGTTGGCGTTGGGCCTGGGTCGGGCGCGATCTGATCCAGATCAAGTTCTGGAGGCCGCCACGCTCAACACACAACCTGGTGGAACTCGGGCCGCAGGGCCAACCAACATACTGGACCGAGACTTGGCGGACAGGAGCCTCCGCACCCCGTACACGACGCTCAAGTAGTCACAGTACGCTCTGTGCACCCCCCCTGTAGTATATGATGCGGCAACAGAACTAACACAAAACAGCTCCGTTCTGGGTGACGGCCGCTTCTTCGTGGGCAACGTGCCCAACAGCAGCGCGTCGAGCTGGCCTGTAGCAGCCAAGTGGGCCACTGCCCAGCCACACCTACGCAGGCGCCAATCCTCAGCGCGCTTCCCACCCGAACCGTCGCTCCCCCGGACTCCTCCAAAGATCTTCCTGACGCCCACCAGCCTGCCCCACTCCCGCTCCGCAGGAGCAGGCAAGAGAGCACCAGAATCAGCCGAGGGCAGCAAACCTCGAGACCGGAGGCACGGCCGCTCGGCAAATCCCCTCGCCAGATCCAGTCGAGCGGAGGGTCCGATCAACAGCCGAGTCGGACACCGAACGATTGCAACCGCACCGCCAACCTCGGTGCTCAGGCGGCTCGTCGATCAGAGGCGCGGCACCGCGGGCACATCCCAGAAGTAGATGCAGCCTGGCCGGCCTCGTTGGGCCTGGACTCCGCCCGGTGGGCGCCGATGCGAGCGTCGCGAAGTGTCTGCAGCCTCAGTCTCCACATTCTTCGCGAGCTGGTCCTACATCTCCTTGATGACGGTGCAGCCGATCCCTCCCTCAACTCGTCCACTCCCCATGGGCCGCTCGCCTCCACGGTACACCAAGTCACTCTTCGACGGAGAGAGGCCAAAAGCGGAACGGAAGTCAGCGACAAGCGTGCGCAACACCTCTGTACCTACGCGACAACACACTGGAGATACTTGCTCATGCTGCAATTCTTTAAACACTGCGACCGTATCCGCGATCGGGCATCGAACGCCTTGCCAGCGGCGCTGTCCCAGAAAACTGAGGCAACATCGTGTCCCACGCGCGCGCCGAAAGAAGCCTGCGAATGTGATCCAACATGTCGCACGCAACACCAAAAGAACTCAACTGCTCAAATCGTGGACAAAACTGAGGGTCATCCTTGGCCGAGCTCAACACTCCCAAATCCGTGGTCGTGCACGCCCTTGGGGCCGACCACCTAGAGCACGTGGCCGCTTGTGCCGCCAAGGTTTGAACCTGCGCTTGTGTCAGGCCCGGCACCTCATGGCCCCAGGGCCCAACTGACAAAACTGTCGGCTTCTAGAGCTGATCTGCCCTTCCAACAAGCTTTGTGGGAAACGCGGCAGTCGTAGCAACTTTCTTATGAGCAGCGGCTTGCCGCTTCTTGACCTTAGAAGTACCATTCTGCCTACAGGCCGTAGCCATGCCCCCCCAGATCACGTACCTCAACCAACTCTGACCGTAAATTATTGTCCGAGTGCACATACACTATGTCTGATGGCAAAGACGGACAGCAGCTGGAGTGATAGCTTGCAGTATCTCCTGATGCGCTCCCTGTTGCTTATCAGTGTTATCATCACCATAGGCCAGCGTACACACAGGTTAGTAGTGCACGTGCGCAAACTCAAGCAGGTCAAATTCTGAATCCAAGACACAGGCTGAGTACATCCAGGCAGCAACCCACATCCAGTAGGGATGATGTCGGGGACAAGCCCGCCCACTTTACCCTAGGGGCATCAAATATCAAAATCTCGAGGTGCAGCAGGTGGACAGGAGAGGAGGCAGGAGGGAGGAGCAGGGAGGAGGGAGGAAGGAGGAGGAAGAGGATGGGCAAGGAGAGGGGAGGGAGGGAGCAGGAAGGAGAGACCCAACCGCGCGCGCGAAGGAACGCACATCCCAAAGCGGGGGATGACAGCGGGCCGTTCCGCGACCGAAGGAAGACCGCAGCCCCTCGCGGGGCAAACCTGCCCAGACGAGGACAGCACACGTGGAGTCCCCACCAGCTGGGCACACTGCTGGTGCAATCCTGTCCACACCGGGCGGGCACTGCCGCCCTGAGTGCGGCGCACGGTCGCTCGCCATCCTGGTCACCTCATACTGCCTCCTCCTTCCCCGCCCCAGGTGCTGCCGCCTGGAGGCCTCCTCCCCCTGCTCCTCCTCCTCCTCCTCCTCCTCCTCCTCCTCCTCCTCCTCCTCCTCCTCCTCCTACTCCTCCCCCCAATCCCCATCCTCGCCCTACGCTCCTCCTCCTCCTCCTCCTCCTCCTCCTCCTCCTCCTCCTCCTCCTCCTCCTCCTACTCCTCCCCCCAATCCCCATCCTCGCCCTACGCCTTCTCCTTCCTCCTCCTCCTCCTCCTCCTCCTCCTTCCTCCTCCTCCTCCTCCTCCTTCTCCTCATTCCTCCTCCTCCTCCTCATTTCCCCCCTCCTCCTCCTCCTCCCCCTCCTCCTCCTCCTCCTCCTCCTCGTCCTCCTC